TTTTCTGGAGTCAGCAATCTAACAGCTATTCATGTACCAAGTTTCATCCTATTATCATGTCTAGAACATGGTTAGAATTAGCGTCAGTCAGTCAGTCAGTCACCATCGTCTATATATATCTAATACGGAAAAAATACTGTATTTGAATATATTAATATTTGGAAACTGTTCAGTCCATGTTATGTCCATGGATGTACACGCGAAATGCATGTTGAGGCCTTCCATATGGCCTGACATCTAGCAGTTCATTCAATAAATGTAAATTTCTCACAATTTAAGCCAGGTCGCCCTCATCCCGCCGCTGAATTCCTCCCGATTCCCTAAATGCTAATGAATGGTTCTGCCGAATCTTTCACCTTCTCCTCGATAATTTCCCACGTACAAACCAAAGGAAGTCGTTCTAATCAGTGCATATGTTGAGAGACATAGCGTAGCTTAAGGAGACTCCAGGCAATTCTGGCTCAATGCATAGAGGGAGTGAGGTTCTCCTTGTGAGGTGAGTCACAAAAACGACTGTCAAAGTTTCGATGTTGAGTGACTCTGCTACTGAGCCTCTGCCTCAATCTGCCATTAAAAATGTTTGCAGGACCATCTATATTGCAAATTAAGAACCGGGACCTGTATATAATAATATATAGGTTACTTATATCCTATATATGACCAAAACATGCCAAATTGTTATATGTGCCATATACATTGCAACTAATCACCATATAAGGGGCTTTTTCTGTATTTGAACCACGGTTAGTTCCATATTCATTAAGAACGGTCAAGACATGATATGGTCTGAACAGCTTACAAATACAATCTCCCATATGCAATTTTTATGTGTACCATGTATATTCCGAGGTGGCAAGCTTATGATTTGTGTGTTTTGGAGGGTGTTTTGCTCATAAACTTCATGGTGCCATGCGCAAAGATCACTTCTGAAACCTACTCTTCGACTTTACTGGAGCTGAAAGAAGAAAATACGCCATAAATGGCCAGGAATGTTAACAATGTTCTTCTACACGATAATGTTCGTCCTCACACTGCCCATATCCAACGGCGTTGATTAAAAAGAAAACATCTCACTTCAGAGCGAAATAATGCCATAAAAATGTGTGAGATGGTGTCAGGGATGACAAGTATCCTATGGGGGGTCAAATTCCGGCACTAAAAAATATTTCCCAAATTGGCGCCACCATTGCATAATCAGCATATCCAGATATGACATAGGAAAATCCTAATACGGCAGCAGATAGATCTATTCGCACCCAAGAATATGACAGAATAATAAAGAGGGAAGTTACTGAAGCTTTCCTGCACGAATGGGATCTCTTCAATGCATATTATGGCGTGTTGGCACCCCTATTGTAAAGGTTCGGAAAGTGCTGATGATGCAATCTTCATATTCACCCTGTGTATACCCCAAATCATCTAGGTGCCGGCACAAAAGCTCACCTGGACCAGATTGTGACCGAAATTACACCACCACTGATTTAGACAATCGGTCCCCGAATGTGAGTTACAAGCGGATTCGCGCGATGAAGGGTTGGTGCCAGATTTTTTTGGGACTCAAGAGGAGGATTCGAAAAAATCATCCTCAATGTGAGAAAAGCTGTATTCGCTTGCTGGCGGTCATGGAGTACTTTCTTATTTTCTCAACGAGAAAATGGAATAAGAGACGAAAATATAATTATTCACACTTCTTCGGCTAAGTAGTGTTTGAACCGGCGGTTTTCCACGGATCAGGTGTGACACTACTCACGCGTGAACACGCGCGTGAGTCGTGAATCCTCTGGGTATTTTCCAGGTTGTGAGTTTATGCATGCAGTACTCTCACAACAATGAAGTACTTTGGTACTGAGTTATGAAGTATTATTTTTGAATCATGCCTTCATAGACATCCTGTATTTTCTGTCCTTTTATAAAAAAAAAATATAAAAACGATTTGAAGCACAATAATCCCGAACTTTAAGAAATAGACGGCTTTCCCTGAATTAATGACTTGTCCGGATTATCGAAATCCTGCTCAATTGACGACTCGTCAATTTTTTCCCAGGAGAAAATAGCGTTCCCAATGTACACTAATCGACATTGATTTATTATATTTCTCAGTAGCGAATTGAAATTACTGACGCAGTTATTTTGACCAAACAATTCCAAAAAAAATCCTGAATTTACTTTTGCTTTCGAATCAGGCAGAGGAAAATTATTAAAACGCGATTTCCAGGGAGAGCTGGCTCATGCAATTTTCTACTCTCAGTGATAAATGCATATTTCAGCGAAATATGTGTCCGACTGTCGTGGAAACGAATGAGAAAAGTGAGCTTCGAGTTCGTTTTAACGAAAGAGGGACAGCAAAAAAGGCGTGTTAAAATTAATAGCGGCACTTCCTTTTGTCGAAGAATGTCGATGGTGTAACATTCTAATAAGTTACCAAGCCAGCCTCAACTCCCTTTTCGCCCGTGTCCAATGGTTCCAAGAAATCCAGACTCCCCATTGCCATAATGGCGAGAGCGGAAGAGACAGGAAATTTCGCAGCTTCTCAGTCGTGCTCCCAGAAAAGCTTTGAATCCAGGAAAGTGATGAGAGAAGATATTTATTCTCTCATTTCATTCCAGGGGGATTGAGACGCGGGAAAGGTTTTCCTCTTTCAATTCGTCTCTTTTGCAATCACGCCCAGGTGAAGGAGAGAAATGACCCAAGGGACAAGAGGACTCCTCCTTATGAACAGCATTCGGATTAACAGGGGAATTTTTTTTAAAGGTGTTCTGGGAATTCTGCCGGGGCTAATCCTCACGGCCAAAGTAACGTGAGTTTGGGATTAATGACAACCGGATTAACAAGAGTTATCTGTATATCATGACAATGACCTTGAGGGCTTCCTGCACATAGTCCGTCCAGATGGGGAATAACCCCCCTAACCTGGACGTATAAGGGCAGCTAATTACAGTAGAGAGAGAAGCAAAAACTCTGGTTCATTCATTCCTTTTTTTCCTGGAAAACAAGTGCATAACCCATCTGAAGTGGAACAGATACCCAACTGCAATAACTACGTCAAGGGTATTCCCCGTTCCACTATCCTGTATGAATACCATGCACGGGGCCCTATTCTACTCATTCTCTAGAGCAATCTCGATCCTCGTGGAACAGTCTTCTGTACTTCAACGCTGCACGAATCACCAAAATGAAACTCGTGAGTATATCTTCATATCTGACAATGGAAGCACTCAAAAGTGTATCCCTCATTAAGATTCAAAAAGACGAGTGATTACCATTTCCTTAAATTATCAATTCATTGCAAAATCTATCATTATTTCAAATATATTAAAACGCTTTTGTACAAGTTCATTCTATATTTATTTGTATTCTGTATATGCATAGGTCTGCTTCGGTATGAAAACATTTTATTTTTATGAGGCCTATATTAATTTGTCGCTTCCTTTGTGAGAGGATGCGTAGTATAAGCAGCTTTCTGTGGAAAAATTGAGTGAATTTTCGTCGATGAACAGATGTTGGGACTGTTGGGGCTGGTGTGTCTGATGACTGTGGCCCTGGGAGCGGGCCCCGAAGATGAAGACCTCTTCACTGCTGAGTCTGCCAATCGAGGATTCGGCCATGGAGGATATGGAGGATATGGAGGCTACGGTGGCGGCTATGGAGGAGGCTTTGGAGGTAATTCTGACTTTCATCTTAAGATTTAAAATATGCACATTCTGATGCACTCGCAAGAAAATTTCTTCGGAAATTACGGAAATTACGTTCCTTTATCTCTGGACATGTATGTTGTGTGGCTCAATTGCTACTGAGTTCGATGTTGACGTGAGCCGCGCGTGTTCACGCTTCACGATTTTCGAGATTTCAATTGTTTTCTAATTGTATTGCGATCTCGATACGGGATTCTGCCTTAACACAAACAGAGGCCGTTGAAGTCTGGTTATTCATTCCTGCCGTATCATTATGAGATAATTTAGTTTTCTAATTTGAAGGGAAGGACTAGTTACAAAATTAATTTTTAACTTTGTTTTCCTTTCTTATTTGTTACTCAGGCTTTGCAGGAGGATTTGGAGGTTTCGGACATCGTCGTCCCCGTCACTTTGGCTGAACATCTTGGTCTTTCTTCATCTTTCTCATCTCATCGATCAGCCCTCTGCAAATCCCATTTCCGTCCCAGAAGTCTTTCATTCAGCTCATGCACAAGAGACTCAAACCAAAGACTGCGAATATGTTTTTTTTTTTAAGAAAAAACTTCCGAAATAAAATCGAATAAATTTTCTATTATTTCATTTTTTTCAATAATTGACATCAGCTTCCAAGAGGTAAAAATACTGAGGACTGCCCATTTTCGCTTCGTCCAACTCATCCACTGCGAAAGTTACAGATCCAACTATCAATGTGCTATTTTTGACGCCTGACCATGACCAGATGCTGGTCTTATCCATCCGAATGGAAGAAGAGAGCGGTGGAGGGTGTGGGAGGATGGATAGCACATCACTTCCGTTCCCGGAGAAAACAGGCTGGACACTTGCGAATGCCTGCCCGACGAATTTCATAACTATATGACTTGATTCCCAGGGAGTATTGTGGACAGTGACTCATTTATCAGCTTCGTGCATCAAGTTGGTGCATGATCAACATGCCATTCACCATCCATGGATCAAGCACAGTAATTAGTTGTTGAAATTGGTTCCAAGGACCTCAAATGGCACTGTCTCGCCGTTGAAACGGCGCCACCCAAGTATCACTGGAACGTTTAATGAATGTTTACTGAACGTTCCATTTGAAGGTCTTGTGCACGTTTCACGAACGTCCCTGGGAAACGTTTCTTGGCTCTTCAAATGTCCGATATTTAGAACGCTCAGCTACGAGGGTAGTTTGACAATGAGTGAGAATCTCAGTAAGGAAGTTCTGTGGACGCACGCGATCTTGAGATTCGCACTCGTTGTGATAGTACCCTCGTACAGTTCAAATTATGTGTTTGCTGGACGTTCGCCATAGAACGTTTATGTTCCTTATCATCACAAAAAAGCCTTCCCCTTTCAGGACTCATCCAAAAAGCATTTATTATCTCGTAACGAACTTTTTTTTTATCGTTTACTTTAATAAAAGACCCAAGCGCAAACTTATTCCTGTGACGGGCCATCGTGTTGCAAAGCTTCAATAGTTTCCAATTCAAATTTTTCTCTCCCAGGGGTGGAACAGGTCTCGTCATATCCATCAGGAGAGTAGTTTCTTTCCAGAAGTAGAAATCCGTGCCGAAATGGAATCATATTGAGGATCGTAACGGAATCATTCTCTAATTCTCTAATCAAGGCATGTGACGCCCCCCACACAATGCTATTTCGACGAGACAGTTACAAGTTATCCCGAATTCCTCTTACTTCTGAGCAAAGTAAAATGAAAAAAAGATTGCAATGCCACTTCCAGGGACAGCTGAGCAGCACATTCTTCTGGGCTTAATGATGAATGATAGTTTCGGCGAATGATGTGTCCGACTTTCGCGGAGACGAAGGAAAAACATATGTTTGTCTCCATGAAAGAGGAACACCAGATTATGGGAAAACGATTCGAGACCCTTACTTTTACCTCAGACGTTCGATAATGAAATATTTGGATAACTTACCATGGGAACCACAGCACTCTTTTCACCCATATCGGAGCTAACCAAGAAATCGAACTTCTGCCGACTCCAAAAACAATGGCGGAAATGACACGTTCCTAATCACGGAAAGGAATGGGAAGAGTGATTCCTTCTTCCGTTTTTTTTCCCAGGGGAATTGAGACGCGGGGAAAGGTTATTCTTTTTCAATTCCTCGCTGTTTCCATTACATCCGGATGAAGGAAAATGACACAAGCCCAGTCAAAAATTTTCGTTGGTTTATCTTCGGGCCAATGCTGGGGGAGTTGGCGCATTTTCGGCGAATGATTGGCAGGCCAACTCACACTTGTGAGTCACTTGTGAGTTGGTCGACCAATCATTCGNTAGGCCAATGTGGTTGAGAAGGTTCCGAAAACCGGCGTGAGATGGAGCCAAAGTGGTCGTAGTGGGGAGTCACTCCCAGATACTACTGAAATGAGCCCCCTGTCCCTTTGACACGGTTCCCTATGGTTTCTCACATAGATCTCAGAGGAAGACAATCGAATTCCTTTTAACATTTCTCTGAAGATGCGACCTAGCTCTGGAATAAACCAGGAACTTCCGGCCCGGAGGTGCGTGGGAGGACCCTTCTCCTTTTCACAATCGGCCACGCGACTGTAACTTTCTTAGTTTACGGGCATTGTTTTACGTGTTCAAATACGCGTAAGGTGTGTCTAACCTTCCGAGGGAGGGCAGACACCCTTGCATTCCCACATGATCCCAATCCTGGGTGCCTCATCATCCAAGGGATGTTGCATGGGATGTTCATGGCAATGAAAGTGTGCCTATGTGAGGTACTCAGGTAAGGTCCTGCTCTTCCATCTCTACCAGATGAAGAGCAGTAAGAGGTCACAAGATACATAATGCCGTAGACATTTTGTCTCGGTTTTTTTTCCTGTACCTTTTCCCCATTGTGAAAAGTCGGCCGATGGTTGGGGCATATGCGGTTTCCCAACAATGAGCCAAAGTTGGCCCAATGAAGGGCCAACAGGACATGCCCGGCTTAAACCAACCGTGAGCCAACCATATAGCAACGATGGCCCAACTACTGCTTATATGTGCATCGGCGAAAAGCCATCGATGGCCCGACGAAAAATTTTTGACTGGGAGGGACTAGAGGACTCTTCCGTATGAACAGCATCCGGATACATGGGAGAATTTGTTTACTTATGTTTTCGAATTCTTCCGGGTCCTATTCCTCATCGCTGAATTAATGGGAACATGGAATTAATGACAACCTGTATAACGAGAGTTATCTGTATATCATGACCATGACCTTGAGAATGCCTGCGCATGGTCCGTCCAGATGGGGAATCCCCCCTTGGCCATTTAAGAGCAGCCTATCACAGCATTTCCAAGAAGGGAGAGAAGCAAAAACCGCCGGCTCCTTTCCTTCCTTCTTTTCTTCCTGGAAAAGAAGTACAAAACCGGTCTGAAGAAGGAACAGATACCCAACTGCAATAACTACGTCAAGGGTATTCCCAGTTCCACTATCCTGTATAAATACCCTGCACGGGGCCCGATTCCATTCATTCTCTGGAGCGTTTTCGATCCTCGAGGAACAGTCTGGTCTTTCGACCCCGCACGCATCATCAAAATGAAACTCGTGAGCATACCCTCATATCTGATAATGGAAAAATTGAAAATTGTATCCCTCATTAAGATTCAAACAGACGAGTCATTACCATTTCCTTTATCAAATCAACGTTAAGTCTCTAATTATTTCAAAGATATAAAATGCTTTCGTAGACATTTAATCAATATTTAATAATATTCTGTTCATGTATAGGTCTGGTTCGATTAGAATATATTTCATTTTTATGAGGCCTATATAACTTTTTTCGTTTCCTTTGTGAGAGTATGCGTAGTACACACAGCTTTCTAAAGTGAAATTGAGTGGCTTTTTTTTAATGAACAGATGTTGGGACTGTTGGGGCTGGTGTGTCTGATGGCTGTGGCCCTCGGGGCTGGCCCCGAAGATGAAGACCTCTTCACTGCTGAGTCTGCCAATCGAGGATTCGGCCATGGAGGCTATGGAGGCTATGGAGGCTTTGGTGGCCTGGGGGGCTATGGAGGTTACGGAGGTTACGGAGGCTACGGTGGCGGCTATGGAGGCGGCTATGGAGGTAATTCTGACTTGCATCTTAAGATTTAAAATATGCACATTCTGATATGCTCACAAGAAAATTTGGAGAATGGAGATAACGAGCCTTTATCCCAAGATATTTATGTCGTTGCTCAATTGCTACGGTGTTCAATATTTCCGTGAGCCGCGCGTCTGTGCGCTTCACGATTTTCGAGATTTCAATTGTTTTCTGATTATATCACGAGCTTGAAACGAGTTTTTGCCTTAATGCATGGAGAGTCGTTGAAATCTGTTTTTTTTTCTTCCTGTTGTATCTTTTGGAGATAATTTGCTTAAAAATTTTGAGTGGTGGGTCTAGTTAAAAAGATTCTTTCATTTTTCCTTTTCTGTTTTGTGACTCAGGCTATGGAGGAGGATTCGGACATCATCGTCCCCATCACTTTGGCTGAACATCTTGGGCTTTCTTCAAATTTCTCAACTTCCCTATCAGCCCTCTGCAAATCCCATTTCCGTCCAAGAAGTTTTTCATTCAGCTCATGCACAAGAGACAAACCAAAGACGTTTGACTGTCAATATATTTTAATTTATGAATAAACGTCCACAATTAATTCGAACCTATTTTTTATTTCATTTAATTTTTCAATAAATGACGTCAACTTATCCAAGAGATAAAAATCCACAAGACTGTCCATTTCGGCCTTGTCAAACTCATCTTCTCCGAATGTGACCGATCCTGATGGCAATTT